TTGAACCCCTCTAGTGAGTTTTCCATTACAGCTCTTGATATATTTCAGCTCCAAAATTTATGTTTGATTTCTTTTATATTTCCTGTTTCTTTGTTTATATTCCCTATTTGCTCATGCATCATTCTGCTGATTGCCTTTAGTTCTTTGTCCATGATTTCTTTTAGTTTTTTGGCAAATTTAAGATAAAGTGACTGTCTAGTAAATCCTATTTCTAGCCTACAGGGATGGTTTCTGTCAATTTCTTTTTTTCCTGTGAATGGTCCATACCTTCCTATTTCTTTGTGTAACTTTATAATTTTTTGGTTTGAAACTGGACATTTTGAATATGTCCAGTAACTCTGGAAATTGGATTCTCACTCCTCTCCAATGATCGCTGTTGTTTCTTCTTGAAGGCTGTGGTCATCCATTTGTTTAATGACTTTTCTAAATTATTTTTGCAAAGACTATATCCCCTGTCATGTGTGGTTACTTAAATCTCTGTTCCGTTATCTCCATGGTTAGCCAGTGACCTGACAGAGATTCACTTAAGTGCCTGGATCCAGTAAGAAAAGAAAATAAAGTGTTCTTTTTAAATTCCTTTAACAGCTGCTGCTGGGAAGCAGGTTAAACCCAATGGAGTTGAAACGATGGCCAGCATCTGTGCTGATCCCTCAGTGGCACACCAGGCAGAGCAAAACAAACAACCCAAATTTTTGGAGGACAAGGTCCTTATTGGAAACTTTGTCACCAGTCCTCTACGCCAAGAATGTACACCACTGTCCCCAGCATCTCTTGTCATGGCATTGGGGCTATGGAGGAGTGCTGGTAGCTGCTATGCCAAACACCAAAATTCACCAGCTGATTGCATGCTCCCCTGGATGCTGCAAGTGTGATACCAGACTCCATAGTTCCCAAATAGTTGATTCTAATAATTCTCAGCAGCTCAATAATTGTTTCAGTGAAAGGAACAATTCTTGGAGCTTCTTGTTCCAACATCATGCTGTCACTGAGACCCATAGGTTGTTTTTTCTTTTAAACTTTTTTACTGATTTGCCTCTCTTGCATATTCCAGTGCCAAGCACAATATTGGTGTTATTAAGTGATAACTACTCCATGACTATGTGCAGATAGAGAAACTAGAAAATACTAACAAAAAAAACATAGCAGCCATTTCACGAGCCTAAGAGATTATTTTAATTTATTCACAAAGTAGGCCAAATGTGAGGCTAGAATGTAGGCCATAGTCAGATGGAAGAGCCTGAGAAGGAGTTTAGACATCATCCCTAGGGGATGTAGTAGATGATAACTGTTTTAATCAGGATCAGATTTGTATACCAAACTTTATATTACATTAATAATATTTTCAACTTATTTAAAATATGGAAATGGTCATATATTTCTAAGTATAGCTTCAGTATAGACAAAATACAGAAGCAGCAAAGACTTTCAGATATACTCTTGATAGTAAGAAAGATTTTTAAAGGTTCTAGTTCTGACTTTGCCATTACTAATCATTATTTAAAAAGTTAGACTCTCAAGCCTTCATTTCTTCTTCTACACATACTTTTCCAGAACCTTATCTTACTTGACCACTGAGCAGCATTCTACAATTGACTACTCTTTCTTTGATCCAATATTCCCCATTTAAAACATTTTCTCCCTATGTCTTTGCTTATTCCTCTCTCCCCTTTAAAGGCTGATCCTTCTCCATCTCACCCTTAAATGTTGAAGTTCTAGTCATATGCCCTCTTCTGTTATTACTGTATAGACATTCCCTGGGTCATTCACTTTTATAGCTTTAATTATCATACATATACTGATTCCTTCTGCCTCCATTCTAGACCTCGCTACTGAACTCCATACTGTGCCTATGCCTCTTTCACTTACTATATCTCAGTAGTAACTGCAATTGAATTTAGATGAGAATTTGTCTTCCAAGATTCTCTCTTTGTGTTTTTGGTTTTGTCTTTGTCTTTTTTTTTTTTTTTAGACAAGGGTCTCGCTCTGTTGCCAGGGTTGCAGTGCAGTGGCATCATTATAGCTCACTGCAACCTCAAACTCCTGGGCTCGAGCAATCCTCCTGCCTCAGCCTCCTGAGTAGCTGGGACCACAGGTGTATACCACCATGCCCAGCTATTTTTTTCTATTTTTTTGTAGAGACAGGGTTTTGCTATGTTGCTCAGGCTTGTCTCCTACTCCTGGCCTGAACCAATCCTCCTGCCTCGGACTTCCAAAGTGCTGGGATTACAGGCATGAGCCACTGCACCAAGCCAAGATTTTCTCTTTCAATCTCACATCCCTGTTTACCTTCAGTGATCACTTTCTTATATTCATCTTACTCTATACATCTTACTCTATACATCTCCTAATCTGTCCCAAAGTCAGAATTCCCTCCTCTCACCCAAATTCTCCTGCTAGTCCTCTGATAATTGTGGTTTACTAACAACAATCTCTTCTATATTTCAACCTCTTCTCAGAATGTTCCCTTCCTTTTCTTGCCCTGATTAAAACATGTACCTCCCTCAAAGACACTCATTTTCCCTACAATCCTCTCAAGTGAAGGCTTTGTCTCTCACATGATACAGTCCATCTGGAGGTCGGGAAAGTGTCTTTTGATTCCCCACTGCCATTTCAAAACCATTTTTGCTTCTTTTTTTGTTTTTCCATAAACTTTTAACTCGAGAAAGTAAAACTGTATATATGATAAATGTATAACATGTTGTTTTGAAATATGTATATACTGTGGAATCTGGAATGACTAAATCCAGGTAATTAACATATTCATTACCTCGCATATTTATCATTTTTTTGTGGTGAGTACACTTAAAATCTATTCTCTTAGCAATTTTTAAGAGAATATACATTGTTATTACCTACAGTCACCATGTTGTACAATAGATCTTAAACTTATTCCTCCTAACTGAAATTTTGTATCCTTTAACCAACATCTCCCCAACCCCTTTCCCCTAGTCTGCTTCTTCTACTTAAAAAACTCCTACCTCCTTTGAAGTTTGTGACTTCAAATCATAACATCACTATCCTTCCCCATCTGTCTATTTGAAATTAATTCCATGTAGATGACCCACCTAAAACTCTGGTGTCAAGAACTGTGAAAGATCTGAGATTTTACCCTACTTGTAAGTTAACAAGTTAGTCTGACATAGCTTCATAGATGCTGAACATTAGACTCCTGAGTCAGAGACAAAAGACTTTATTACTTATAACCCAGCAGGCCTCATGACTTACTTATGACCCAGCAAGCATCATAAATTACTTATGACTTGGTAGGCATCATGAGCTTCAGATTCTCATCATTTTCAACTGCTTTCCCCAAGTTCCAGAGGAGCAGTGCAAATGCAGGTCCAAGTAGATGCTGCATACACAGTGGGTTTGTGTCAGAGGTAAGGAGCCTCAAGCTTAAGAAACGTCCAGTCTTATAGGGGGTCTATCAGCAAAGCTGCCCAACCATTGCTCCAGAGGAAGACATTATTATACTAGTCAAAAAACAAATCTTCCCTGTACACCAGAAGAAGACATCATCTTCGTTATACAAATATCTTTGAAAAGATAATCCAGAACAAAATTTGTCCTGAGACACCACAGATACAAGAGATCCATAAAGAATTGTCTCCCAAGATCTGGCTATAATCTAGCCAAAGCCAGATCCAATGGCCAGTCTTAAGAGCATGAGTCGCAACACAGTACAGTAGTCCCCCCTTATTCACAGTTTAGCTTTCCACAGCTTCAGTTACCCAAGGTCAACTGTGTTCCAAAAATAATAAATGGAAAATTGCAGAAATAAATAATTCATAAATTTGAAATTGCATGTTGTTCTGAGTAGCCTGGTGATCTTGTGCCATCCCGCTCTGTCCTAGCCAGGATGTGAATCATCCCTTTGTCCAGTGCTGTTGGTGCAAACATGCTGTATGAACTACCCCACCTGTTAGCCATTGAAAGCTCCTCTTAGATGTTCCGCAAGCAACTCAAACACATTCTATTCAAAACTGAACTTACTTATTCACCCATTCCTCTAATATCACTAACTCCTTCTTTCTCTAACTAGTCATTTTCTAAATTCTTCAAACTCTATTTCGTATTTCTTCAAGCCATCCTTTCCCATCTATCCTGCCCTACATCATACCTTTTATTATTTTTCACCTGGATAAACTAGTCTTGGAAATTTGACAATTTTGATTCTGAAATATATTTTCCAAATTGATCAATTATTTACCTAAAGTGAAAATCTGATTTATCTAAATCACTCCTGCTTCACTTTCGATTCCTATGGATTATAGAATCAAGTGCAAGATACTTAAACAAAATGGAAGACCCTTCATAATCTCTCCAAACTCATTTCCCACCACTTTTTGTCTTAAATTCTATATTGTGATAATATTAAAGTGTTTACAGTTCCTTGTAGTATCTCACCTCCACACTGATTCCTCTACAAGGAATTCCATTTTCTCTACACCTCCGCTCTCACCTCTATCTCTTCATTTTGCTAACTCCTTCCTAATTCTGTCTTCCTCATCCTTTCAACTCCTTTCTCCCAAAGCCATTTCTCAGTTTACATGATGTGAACACTGTCTGTTCATTATAGCATAACCAAAATTTTGTGTTTATTATAACCTATTTTCTCTTCTGTTTCTTTTTTCAAAGGAGATAAGGATGTACACACACTATTTTGTTTCAATTAATTTACATCCAATCCTTCCATGTCTTTTTTTTATTACCTATTTTACACTTACTAACTTTCCTTTCATTAACTTTAACCACTAATTCGGGAACCCGTCAACACCCATCATAGTATGCCTATTCTCTGGGGACATGAAAAAAAATCATTATTGCCCATTATCCAGCCCCCAGAAGAGTACCTGGCACATAGTACGTACTCGATAAATCTTTAGTGTCTGTAGGAATCATGAGTAACAGGAGTCACGGTGACATTTATAAAAGCGATTCTCACCTGTGGAACAAGGTAACCACACTTGAATTACTAGCAGTTATTAGCTATTATTTACCAGTCCTTTCTTGTTTCAACACGGACGCAGACGAATGAGGACTTTAATTCTGCAAGGTTCACCATTTTGTCTTAGAGAATGCACTTATCCAAGGTAAGAATCCTGATTTCTTTCCAGCACCAAGTCAAAAAAGTCACCAACTCCAAGGTTTTTGTCTGAAACGTTCTTTGGCCAGGACCTATGTATCACTTTTGTTCACTCAGCTGGAGCCCGATCTCTTGCATTTGCCATTCGATTAACACCTCGGAACATGCCCCTCTCCGCTCTCCCCAGCGCCCTATTCCCACTTTCCCTCACCCCAAACCACACACAAAAACGGAAACCATAATTTCGCCAGGTTCTGTGAAGACTCGACAAAGTTTGAGGCCACAAGACGCGCTTTCCCTCTTCTAACCAGGTTCGGTTCCCTCCAGGCACTGTTTTCCTCTCCTGGAACCCACCCGCCGCCTCGGACCCGACAACCATGGCGCTCTGCGGGGTCAGCCGCGCAGGCTAACACGGCCTACTGTCCTCTCACAACTCCTCCGAGGACTTCACTAATTCTCCCGCTCGCCCTAGGCCCCGCCTCACGGGCCTGGAGGCGCGGCACGCGCATGCCGGGTGCGCGCCGTCTCTCCGCAGGGCCCCGCGCGCGGCGTGTGGCTGTCCCCTTCCCTCTCTCGCGCCCCGCCCCGCTGGTCGTTTGGGGGCGCGGGCAACTCGGCGCGCGGGTGAGCCCCGGCCGAGAGGCTTCCAGCGAGCGGCGATTGGCTGACGCGGTGGCTGCGCATCCGGCCTGAGAAACTCTGGGTGAGCGAGTGGAATCGGCTCCACGGGCGGTGCCAGGCGCATCTCATGTAAACGGCTTGGCCAGGTTTGGGCGACCGGAGAATGATTGGAATGAGCGTAGAACAGCCCTGGAATTTCCGGCCCAGACTCCTCGGGGAAGGAGTTGTGGCCGTGCGGAAGCTGCGCCCAGTGAATGCTGGCCCGCGCGGCTTGGAGTGATGGGGCTCCCTGGAAGGTCAGCGTCGTGGGGGCCTCTGGTGACAGCGCTCTTTCTGGGCATGATTTCGGCATCGTCCGCAGTTTCCTATTACAAGAGTTCAGCAGCTAAGCATTTATTGAAGGGTGTAGGTTTTTGTTACTTTTTCCCCTTCGGTCGCCCTAGAGTTAGAGAGTTCCACTCCTGGCTCACCGTCTGATTGACTCTGGGCCCTTGAGAGGATCAGTCGTTTTATACTTCAGTTCTCACACTTCTAAGTGTAGGCAAAGAATGCGGTGCTTCTTAAGGTGCACTGAGAGACGCTGTAAAAAGACACTGTTACAATTTTTATTTGGTTCACTATGTACGTGGGCCTACATTTCTCTAAATGGAAGGTGACATCACACAACGGTATTGCAAAGTACTTTAACCTACATGGATGGAGGGAACTGCATAAACACAAGATAGCCACATCATCAGAAAAACAACTTTCCACAAGCACAGGCTTTTGAAAAAGCTCCTTTGAGCATTTTATGCATGTTAAATCACTGTGGTGGTAGGCAGACATCAGCCAAAACAAAGGGCCAAGCAAAACTAAAGTTCAAGGAGGTTTTTTTTCCTTCCCCAGATAACTAATATACTGTCACAAGTTACTGTCTTCTCAAAGTTTTTTCTTGGGATCTGATATGAAACTAACCTAAAATGATGATTATGTAATCATTTGTGTATTATACAATAATATACCAATAACGTTAATTAAGGCAAAGCTGACTCTTCTATATAAGGTAATAGGAATTAAGACATGTCTATGAGAGGTAATGATGGCAAATCAGAAAAGCGAATGGGAGATGTACACAATTTTCCTTCAAAGGCGTAGAGTTTATAGAAATCTTTTTAGTGTGTTAGTATTTAAAGCATAATAGACACAGAAAAGTATATGAATCATAAGTGCACAGTTTATTGAATTTTCACAAAGTATACATACCTATGTATCTGGTAACTAGTTCTAGAAAGAACATGATTTGTATTTCAGAAGCCCCACTTCGTGGTTCCAT